CTTCCTTCCTTCTTTCCTTCCTTCCTTCCTTCCTTCCTTCTTTCCTTCTCATTATTCCTATGGTTGATTGTTTTGCTTTTATTCTTTTTCTTTGCTTCAAAACTTTTATTTTGTTGTATTTAGTGTCTATAAGAATATTGTGCTAATATTAAACTTCTTCCCAGAAATCAAATCCATTTTTATAAAAGGTATCCTGAAACTCCTTTAAACCCTGGAAGGATACAAATTAAAGTAACAACATATAGTGAAAAGGAACACTTTCAAAGAGTTAAAGATAACTTACATTTTCAATTGTTTCATTCATTTCTTCCTCTGCACTCTGAAGTTTAGTTAAAATAGCTGCTCTTCTTAGGTTCAGATATTTAAGTCGATCCATAACTGTCTAAATTTAAAGAACAAATCTTTAAATACATTGACATTTGAACATTTCAAATATTCTGAAAAAGTGATGAGCCCATGAATGGAATACTTCCTCGCTCCTTTCTAGTTTCTGATTATTTGCTGGCAATCTTTGGTGTTCCGTGGCTTTTAGATGCATCATCCCAATCTCTGCCTTTGTTGTCACATAGCTATCTTTTCCCCGTGTATCCGAGGCTCTTCTCTTGTAAGGACACCAGTCATATTGCATGAGGGGCCACCCAGATTCAGCATGACTGAATCTGAACGTGATTATAATGAAAAGATCCTATTTCCAAATAAGGTCACATTTATAGGTAATGGAGGTTAGGACCTCAGTATGTTTTGTGGGGACACAATTCAACCTATAACAGTCTGCCCTCTGGTCCCCAAATATTCATGTCCTCAGAGGTCTACCTCTATGGGACATCTTCAGGGAGAGGGAAGACAACCATATGAAGATAGAAGCAGATTCTGGAGTTACGCTGCCACAAGGCAAGGGATGCCTAGGGGTGGGGTACCGGAAGCCAGAACAGATAAGGATGGATCCTTCTCTAGAGACTTTGGAGGGTGTATGACCCTGCCAACACTTAGATTTTGGACTTCTAGACTCCAGAACTATGACAGAATAAATTTCTGTCATTTTAAACCACCTGGTTTATGATATTTCTTATGGCAGCCCTAAGACACTCTGTGGAAGAATCCGAAACACAGAGTCTGAGATAAGAGATGGTGAGACAAAGTCCTGATGGCATATGGTAATTTATGGTAGACTGTATTTGTTCACAATTCACCCTTCCTTCTCCTCCCCTGTTAATTCCCTAGTTTGCGTTGGATAGAGTACACTTCCCTATCCCATTTGTATTGAGCTTCTCCATGTAACTTGTTTTGGCCAATAGAAGGTGGGCAGATGTGCCAGGGTACCAGTGCCAACTAGGGCCCTAACGTGCTGCACGCTTGGCAAATTTAAACCAGGGCTATTGGAGTTTCTGCCTTCTTGAGGAAAATATATCCCAGGTTGCAAAAAAATGGTGAAGTTCTGGATATATTTTGAAGCAGAAGCCTGATGTTTAAGATTGATAGTTTGATATACGATGTGAGAAAAAGAGAAGAGCAGCTGGAAGGATGGATTTGACATTTACTGAGAGGGGAATACTGTGAGAAGAATGTTTTTGTGACAAGGTGGTGATGATGGTGGATCGTGAGTTTTACCCTGCATATTTAAATCCGAGATTACATCTGTGAGGTTATAGAAAATATATATTTGTTTCTGCCTCTGATTCCTGGCACGGAACTCCCCAAACCCTTGTAAATTCCTAAGTGATAAAGCACTAGGAGCATCTTTTGTTCTATTGAAGTGACTCTGAGTAAGTTCCTGAATGGCTTCTGAATGGGGGCTGGTCACCAGAAAGATCAAGCCATGATTAGAAGCTTGGAATTTTCAGCATCACCCCTCATCCTGCAGAGAAGGGAGAGGGGCTAGAAACAGTTAATAACTAAGAAAGCCTCCATAAAGGCCCAATAGTTTGGGGTTTGGAGAGCTTCCAGGTTGGTGAACACATCTACATTGGGAGGGCAACACACTCCAACCCCACGGGGACAGAAGCTGCAGAACTTGGGACCCTTCTAGGCCTCGCCCTGTGTGTATCTCTTCATCTGGTGGTTCATCTGTATTCTTTATCATATCTTTTACTAAACTGGTAATGTAAATAATGTAAATAAGTATTCCTATGAGTTCTGTGAGCCACTCTAGCAAGTTAATCAAACTTTAAGAGGGGGTTATGGAAACCTCCAATCTATAACCCAGTTGGACAGAAATTGGGGTTAACCTGGAAACCTACTACTTGTGATTGGCATCTGAAGTGGGGTGGGAACAGTTTTGTGGGACTGAACCCTCAACCTATGGGAGCTGACACTCTCCAGGTAGACAGCTTGAGAATTGAATTGAACTTTAGGACACCTAGCTGGTATCACAGAGGATTGCTTGGTGTGGGGGAAAACATCCACACATTTGGTGACTAAAAGTAAAAGAAGCAAAGTGTTCTGTGTGAGAGTAAAGAAAGACTCACGGGTGGAAAACAGAGTTTTTCCAATACAACATCCAATTGAATATATTGAGTAGCAGTTGATTATACAAGTGCAGAATTCAGGGGAAAGGTCTGGGATAATAATATGAATATAATAGTTGCCAGAGTTTAGAAGGTATTTAAAATCATTGGACTGGATAAAGTTGTCTAAGCAGTGAGGGTAGCCCGAGAAGAGTGAACAAGGAGTGAGCTCTGCGATCCCCCGACACTAGAGGTTAGAGATGGGAGTGTCCAGTGAGGGAGAATGGACCATAGTAGTGTGGGGTCCAGGAAGCCAAGGGAGGAAAAAGAGTGGAAAGAAGTGATGAGCTGAGTCAAATGTTGCTTCTAGGTGAATTAGATCAAGACTGAAAAGTGACCAGTGGCTTTGGTCAGGAGATCACTGATGATCTTAGCCAGAGCATATTCCAGTTGAAGATCTCCATAATTGGCTCCACCAGTAGCATTATTACTACGTGGAGATCAATTATATCAAGCCAGAAATCTAGGCATTATCTCTGACTCTTCTCTCCCTTAACTCCTACAGGAAGTCATTCATCAAGTCCTGTCATGCAGATTTCTTAAATATCTCTCAGGTCTGTCTTCTGTGCATTCCCACAGTCACTACCCTAGGTTAGGACATCATCTCTTACCTGACTTACTGAAAAAGCCAGTACTTGTCTTCCTACCACCAATTTTATTTTTCTCCAATTTTTTTTTTTCTTTGCACTGCAGTCTGAGTAATCTTTCTTAAATAGAAATAGGATCATTTTCATTCTCTGGCTTAAAACTTTTTGCTGGCTGCCCACTCTCCCATGAAGAGGTCTAAACTCTTTAACAGGGCTTATGAGGTCCTCGTTGGTGCAACCCCTGCTTATTCCTAAAGTCTTGGCACTATTCTACCACTCCTCCCTGCCCCCTAAGCCGCATCTATGTTCCAGCCCTACAACTCGCTATGCTATTTCTTGCCTCTGGGGCTTCACATAGACTCTTCTTTCAACATGAACCACTGTACTACCTACCTCCCCTCTCCTAGCCTTCAAGGTCTAATTCTTACTCATCCTTAGAGTTTCAATTTAAAAATAATTTCAGACAGATGGACTTCTTCACCAGACTAGGTTCTACCCTTTTGCCACACCATTTCTCAATCCCATCAGCAATGTATGCAGGTTCCAATTTTTCCACATCCTTGCCAATACTTGTTAGTGCCTGTTTATTTTTAAATTTTTAAAAATTGATCTTAGTGGGTGTGAAGTAGTATTTCATTAATGTTTTGATTTGCATTTCCCCAGTGTTTCACATTAAGTACCTTATCATGTGTTATTGCTATTACTTGTTTTTACTTTTCTTTGAGGCATTTTTTGTCATATGGAGATTTTAAATTCTAATGTAGTTTTAAATATAGACAAAGGAATAAGTACAACATCAAATTTTTAAGTGTTAAAATGAATTTTTCAAAAATGAATAGTTTTTAAAATGTAAATAAATTTCTGATGTGTATTAAAATAAGTACAATCCAGTCAAAATTTTTTTGATTTTCCAAATTGGGATATTCTTACTGAACATTATACTTACCATGAAGAGCTCCTCTGGGGGCTTATTTCCATCTAGTTCAATGAGAAACCGGGAATTGTGTTCAGCCATTACTTCCTGCAGACAATAGAGAAGAAATCTTATAATTCAGGTTCATTGGGAAAACTGAAGGCAAGATCTGAATCTTAATAAACTACGAAAAAACCTTCAAAGCTAAATTGCTTTATACATGACATAATGTATGGTATTTTCCAGTGCTCAAGAGATCATTTGCAAAAGCCTAGTCTTCTTACCATGAATTTTATTCTTTCTGGTTTTTTTGTTTGTTTGTTTTTTCTCTACTTTGAAGTCTTAGAGTCCTTCCCATTAGAAAATGTTCAGGGTCATCTGTCTCTCTGCAAATATTCATAAAATAATTTCTGCCAAACTAATAATTGAAAAATGAGATTGGTTTGTTTTACTTTTTGTTCCTTTGGCTATGAGCAAGGTTTAGCACCCAGATCTCTGTATACTACCTAATTATAACCTCTGTACATTTTTCTATTAGATTGTTTTTTTTTCCTAACATTTATGGAAAGTCTTTAACACTTATCCACCATAGGGATGGCAAATATTTTACCTTGCTATTATTTATCTTTGTTTATGGTCTCTTCTGTAATATAAAATATTTTTACAATAAAATATATCTGTTTTCATTGTTTCTGGAATTCCTTTCTTGCTTAAATTAGATTTTCTCTACCTCAAGCTTATGTTAATAGTCTTCTAATTTTCTTAAGGTATTTTTTGTTTGTAATATTAAAATCTAAAATCCACTGGATTTTATTTTTGTACACTGGCAATGTTGAACACTATCTGAGTTCTGTGTTCTCAAGAAGTAGGGATCATTGAGAGTCGAGAGTCACCTCCACCCTCCTTCAAGGACTTGAATAAGATCCGTCTCCATCCTTCCTGATTCCCATAAGACTTGAGAATGGCTCACTTATTTACCTGCCTCCATAAAACTTCAGGCCCCTTTCCTTTTCTTTGAGAAGGCCTTCATCGATGAAGGTTCTCTCTATTGTAATAGTCTAAACAAAATCATTTTAATTCTGCCTTTCACAATACTGTGCAAGATGGAGTTTTAAGAGTTTCTTCTAGACAGAGAACACATACCAGCATTATGTATTTAACCATAAATAATCATATTCTGAACAAGGAAGCACATGATGCTTTTCTGTATTTGAGATTCTTTCCTTAAGCTAGATTCTTAAGAGTGGACTTATTAAGTCAAAAGGTGTGAACACTCCTAAGGTTAAAGATACATGCACCAGGTGAGACCAGGAATCAAGTTGGGATTCAAAGACAGGTAAGAATGAGGACTTAGTCTTGGATTACTCTTGAAGCAGGATATAAACCAGAAGATTATTCAAGTTAGTTTGCTCCCACTCACTTCCTCATGTCTCTTATAGGTATACTGAATTTTGGTGGTCCCAAGGGCACTGATATCTCATCCAGGTCAGAGGAGGCTAGAATTGCAGGTTTCTACCTTTTCTGGCTCTCCCCCACTTCCCTCTCTATACATCAGTACCCTGGAGTTACCATATAAACAATAGTTTTACTGGTCATCAGGTGTCACCTAGGCCTAAAGTCTAGGTCTTGGTTTTTAAAATCTTGCTTTGTTGGCACTAGGACAGTCAATTCTTATCTATGCTTTGTAGCAAGGCCTAGAAGTTTTCCACTTCTGGACTTTTTATGACAAGCTATTAAAAAATGACCATACTGATTTCTATTCATTCAGCAAGTCTTCAGTGTTTGCTTTACTATATACCTGCTAGCATTAGAAATGGAAGTGATTCTTCATTATTTAGATTAGCATTTCTTTATAATCGGTGAAGCTGAACATTTTTCTAGAGGCCTGTTACCCTATTGTCTTTCATTTTTGTGAACTGCTCACATTTTTTGTGCCCAATTTTCTAGGTAGGGTGGGAACTTATAGGTTTAAAAATAATTTCTATGACTTTTTCATAATTGATGTGTATATATTTCCAGTTGTCTTTTGAGTAAAGTTTTAAAAGATTTTTATTTCCAGAAATCTTACATATAATGAAGTTGAAGTTATCATTTTTTTCCTTTATGATCTCATTATTTGTTCAGCCGAACACCTGTTAAGCATTTACTACTTGCCAGACTTTGGGCACTAAACTGGGCATCAGTGATGCCAGGATGTAAGACCTGGTCCCTGTGCTTGAAGGAACCATCTCTGCTCCCAATATGAATATAGTTTTCTGATTTTCTGAATTTAGTTTTAATTATGCTTTATTTCATATCCAGTGTCAACCACTTAAGGACTTTGCAGGCTATTTTTGTTAGAAGAAAGAAAGAACATTACAGATAGACATGCAGATTACTCTAATGAAGCTGTTTAAAGGCCAAGGATAGAAGAGGGGGAAGGGAGGAATAAAAGTTATACATAAGAAAACAATTAAATTTGCTTTTCATTTTGGAGAGAAGCTAATGAGAATGAAAATGATTCACATATTTTTCTTTAAAAGTATATAAACATTAGAAAACAGCATAAAATAAATTATTTTAGTTTATCAGATGGGAAGAGGCACCTTGAAGACTTTTTTATTTGTCTTTTAGTTCTATTGCTTAGCATGGTGTCTGGCCAAATATCCAAGTTCAACAAATGTTTGTTGAATAACTCTTCAATACAAATCTGACAGAGTCTTCCTTGGATTTTTAGCCATATAAAATATGCTGTTCATGTAATTTTAATTTTAATAATCGAATTTAAAAAATGCTAATTATGTTTAAAACTTTCCTATTACAATATGTAATGGCCGTATCATATTTATATATCATCAACTTTAATGAGATAACCATAGAAACCAATCTAGGGATAATTCTTCTTTAGATTGTAATTTAAATAAATTAACAATTCCTTCTAGACTAAAAGACATCCCTTAAGTGTATATTTGTTTTGCTAACCCATAAATTACAGATTGAAAATCCTTTTACAAAATAGTCTTTTAACATGGGTTTTCCAGCCTCCAATCATAAATGAATTCCCATAGTGACTTTTCAGCAACACTACTGCTTTTGTAAGAGCAAAATAATATTGTTCTATGAAACAGCCTTTGGGATGGAAGCCTTATTCTAAAAGCATTCTACCAAACTCAAGAGGAGGAGAATCAAGCAGATGATATATATGGGTAAATAAATGTGAAAGCTATTTCACCAGTGACAGAACACAATATATCTTGGTCTTACTTCTAAAACATGAAGAATTATCTCCTTATAAAGTTTAACAACATGCTCAATATTTTCCAAATAATCCTCAGGCCTCTGAACTAGATGTTGAAGAATTTCGGCCACCATCTGCATTTCAGCAATAATTGCCTAAAGAGAAAAGAAGAAATTTTAAATATCTTTATGTTAATGATGATTTAATTTATGAGCCACATTCCTCCCTCCTTATATCAAGATGCCATTTGGAGGTGAAAAGCAAGCAGAAGGGAAAATTAGAAACAGGATTTTTATTTAAGAGAGAGTGAACATCCTAAGGGGGCTTTATCAGATCGAATAAAACTTTAAATTGACTTGGAGATTTATTTAATTTCTTTTTGCTCCTCAATGAGTAGGGAAGGGCAGGGGAAGAACATCAGATTTTTAGAGACAAAGAAATTAGATTTTCTCTGAATACCTGAGCTTCTACTTAATTCAGTCATTCAGAAAAGATTGATCGGGTGTCAACTATGTGCCAGGCTCTTCTAGGGGCTTGAGATACTGCAGTGAATAAAACCAACTAAGATGCTGGAGATCATAAAGCACACGTTCCAGTTGGGGAATACACAACATAAAGTAGACAAATAAATGTATGACAGGTTAGGTGGTGGTAAGTACGAGGAAGAAAGATAATGCAGGATAGAGGGAATGAAGAGTGATGGGAGAAGATGCTATTTTAATCAGGTGGTTATGAAAGGTTTCTCTGAAGAAGTAACAGTTGAGTAGAACCCAGAGGAAATGAGGGAGAAAGCCACATAGATTTCTGGAGGAAGAATATTTCAAGGCAGAGAGAATAGTGTGTGTAAAAGTTCTTAGCCCAGGGCCTGGAAAGTGTTCAGTATCATATTTATTATTCTATTATCATTACCATATTTATTATCTAATTACTAACTCTAGTTTTTATCAATGCATACACATTCATATTTTATACCATTTGAATCATATTAACTATTACATAAGATATTTTATAATTTGAAATGCTTTAAATACTGTTTTAATGGTCGAATAATATATTAATACCCAAAAGACATTATCCTTTCCTCTCTCTAGCAGAGGGCTTTGCTAGGATGCTTGTAAATTCGGTCGGTACACAACTTCTTACTAAGTATCTACTGTGATAAGTGCTATGAGGAAAATGAAGCAGGGTAAGAGGTTAGGCCTGTGCTCTCCAGCATGATAGCTACTGGCCGCACATACCAACTGAGCATGTGAAATGTGGCAAGTGCATGTTGGGACGTGCTATAAGTGAAGTACACACCAGATTTCAAAAATCTAGCATGAGAAAAGTACATCATTCTTAAATAAAATATAATATTAAGTAAATACAGTATTAAAATTACTTTTGTCTGTTTCTTTTTACTTTTTTTTTTTTTAAAGTGGCTACTATTTAAAATCATATATAGTAAGGTATATTTCTGGGTTAGAGAGTCGCTTCCTGGATGGTCTCTAGAGAAGAAATCTCTGGGGTGAGATGTTGGTGATGTAAATGAGCAAGCATGTGAAGAGGATCTGGAGGAGACTGTGGTAGGCAGAGGAGAGAAGAAACAGGGAGTACAAAGACTGGAGGTGAGATTGAGTTCAGCATAGTTAAATACTAGCTGGAAGGCCAAGATGGCTGGAATATAGTGAGCAAGAGGGGAGAGACCGCGGGGGTGAGATCAGAGAGGCTGGGTCCATGGCCTTGTAAGCTATGCGAGAGTGTTTGGATTTTCACCTAAAGGTAAATTAGAAAGTCACTGAGGGTCATATTTTTAAAAAATGACTCTGGTTTTTGTAAAGAATGGAATGGGATGCGGAGGGCGGAGGAAAGTGGAAGCCATGAGAACATTAATAAAGCTGTTATAGCAGTTCGGAAAATTCTTTACATTTACATGTATATATATTAAGGGTAAACACTTTCGTACCATTGACCTAAGTGGGTGACAGGTTTGCTCCTGAACGTGGCTGTGCCACTATTCAGAGATCACTGCAAACTGGGCCCTGGGGGCTGAATCCAGCCTGAAGGCATAATTTAATTATCTCCCCCAGGATTGGCCTATATGGTGTTTTAAAAGTTTCCGATTAGTTGCCAACTATTCTTATTTTAAAACACTGATTTCAGGTTCTCTGGAAAAAACAGACTACCTGGTAAAGATAGGCTAGCTTTCCCACATGGCAATAGCTGGGCTGGAGCTTAGAGGCAGCTGTCCTCTGAAGAAGGACATGCACTCTCTAGCTGTACAGAAAACCTTTCTGTAGCAATAGAAACGTTCTATATCTGTGCTGTCCAATTTGGAAGACACAGCCACGTTTGTCACTGAGCACTTGAAATATGGCTGGTGCTACTGAGGAACTAAACTTTAAAATTTTTATCATTTTAATTAATTTGAATTTAAATAGCCACATGGGGTTAGTGGCTACCACACTAGACAGTGCAGTCCTAGCCTACTCTAGTCCTCACTCTTCCTGGTCGTATTTCTGGCCAATATCACAAACTGACATAACTGTGGCCCCTGAAACTAAGTGAGTTGTGATCCTCTATCTCACCATCTTTAAGATGGTGTGCTTTATTCATGCTAAAATGACATACTTTTGTTCCTATTTGCTATGTAGTTTTCCTTTTTAAAAAAAAAAAAAAAGTCTGGAATAGATGCTGACTACCACCTAATGCTTTATTTGCACATGGAAGCGGCTTTTAAATAGGCTTTTTTGTATTAACAGGTTTTTTAACTGAGATATAATTGACATATAATAGTATATCAGTTTCAAGTGTCTGACATTATGATTTGATATTTGTATACATTGCAAAATGATCACCATAGTAAGTCTAGTTAACATTCATCACCACACATAAGCAAATATTTTTTTCTTGTGATGAGAAATTTTAAGATCTACTCTTAAATGAGAGAACAAATATCAAAGATACATTGAACCCATTAGTGAGGGAACCAGCAGGATGACAAAGCTGAAGTATACGAAAACACTGAAATAAGACTGCAACATTAGATACAAGGCTGCTTAATATCCTACAGGGCAATAAAACTGTAACCTTTGTGGATTATCTATTCTACTTGAAAAATGATTTGCAATATGTCCATTTATAAATTAACAAGAGTCTAGGTTCTAATAGAAATAGTATTTATTTATAATAAGTTTATAATAAATTTTAATTAGACATTATAAAAATTACATAAAATTATAAATTATAAACATTTTAATTTATATTAGAAATCACAGGTGTATTTTAGTAGAGTAAGAATTGGCAAACTATGGCCCACCCCATCCCTGCAGGCCAAATCCAGTCCATCACCTGTTAACAGATTTCTTAATATTGAAATGTCCTCAGTAAGTCATGGTAGAAGATTCTTTTGGTGCCCTACTGCATTATGCCCACTAGTATTGACTTTAGGATTATTGTAACAACATGTACATGTGAAACTGGGCTACAGATTTCTTCTTATGTGCTCTCTTTGTCAGCGTTTGCAATCCGGGTTATGTTAGCTTCATAAACTGGATTATACCTGGGCTACCTTGGTCCCCACATTACACTTTGTCTTTTATTACTCTGACTCTTCACTCTGACTTGCATAGTGCTTGATACATAGTAGGTGATCAATGACTCTGTTGCTAAGAAATGAAGCAGATTAGCTGTCAGGATGTGAAGGGACTTCCATACTGAGAAGAAAGCTAAACTTGATGACCTCCAGAGTGTGATCGAATAGTTCTTAAAAATATGAAATATTTTTGCTATTTCCTCCAGACTAAATAGAAATATAAAGAAAATGCAATTTTCTCTAGTATCTATTTTCTATTACCCATGCTATCATTTAATTTAATTATTGTGAATTATAAAAGTATATTATATGGTATTGGGATATTACCTCTTCTTCTTCTTGCTCTTCTTCCTCTTCCAGTTCCTCTTCTCCTTTTCCTTCTTTGTGTGTGTCTCTCTTCTTTTTCCTACGATTCCCAATGACTTCAGGATCCCACTGGTCCCTTGTGTATAGGTACCCTGTAGTGCTGTGCTGCCTTTGCCCAGAAATTCTTTGGCATAAATCAAAATCAGGGCACTAAGGAACAACATTAGTAATCACTTAAAGCATGTTAAATATTCTTTTACTTCCTATTCATATATTATGCAATAAATAAACCAGAAAATTCCTAAAACTGTAGGTGCATGAAATATTGTAAATGTCATTTTATAAATGTCATCACAAGCTGAGAGGCACAAGATACAACTTCTATGTTATGCCACACTTTTCTTTGTCCAAATTAGTATATATATGAGAAAATATCAGAAGTTTTAAGATGAAAAAAGAGGGTCAGAGAACAATAAAAAGAGTTAGAGAAATAGAATAGAAAATCAGTTTAGTCTGCAAAGGTACACAGGTGGATTCTGTCATATTAGCTTGAAAATGCTGAGAATGGAGAAAAATGAGAACTATCCATATATTTCCAATAAAAAATATCATGTATTTGCAATATTTACTATCATTTACAGTTTTATGGGTGTAGTATCTCATAAAATGGCAGTCACGAATGGGACCTGAAAGGTCATCTATTCTAGTCTAATCTTTTCATTTTTATAAATGAGAAAACTGAATCTGGATAGTAAAAAAGAAGCCAAAATCAAAGTCTACAAGCAATTTTCTTCCTTCAAAGTGCTTTCACATGTGTAATATTTGACTCAGTTCTTTAACTAATCTTGTAAGAGAAGTGATCCAATGTTATGATTAAAGCCATTTTGCAGATCAGAGAAGAACTGCTCTGGCAGGTTAAGACTCTGGTTTCAGATCACAATGTCATGAGGGGGAACTACAACTTGGAACCAGGCCTTCTGATTCATAGCCCATGCTCTGTGGCTCATTATTAATGATAACCTGGATTATCTTGCTCTAAATCACTCTTAGGATAAAAAACTCTAGATGACATTCTATGGTTGTAGTTCTCAGACATTAGGATGTAACTGCGTATAGAGAACCATAAATAAAGATTTCTGCTCTCTCTTGTTATTTATGAAGTCTGGAGTGAGGCTTAGAATTTTAACAAGTATTCTCAGTGATTCTGATGCCAATAGTTTATGTATCACATAAGGAAGTAAGAAACTTTAGAACATTCCTTGCTCGCTTTCTGATTCTTCAGGGTACCTCTATGTGGAGATGGTTTAGATATTTATTAAGGCAAGACTTTTATTTATGTTTCCAAATCTTTCACAAAAAAAAAAAAAAAAGATTTTAACCCATTTAGGTAATTTAAAAAAATGTGTATGTATTTGCCCTTATTGAGCAGAATACCCACATTGTGGGTCCCTGATGATTGCCTTGAGTTGTCTCCTGTTTTCACTTGCAGGAAGTGATTAATAAGAGGGTGAGTCTGAAGAACAAGCCTCAGGGCAGGGGTCCTCAACCTTTAGCAGGCATCAGAGTCACCTAGAGGGTTTTCAGCACTGATAGCCGGCACCACCCCCAGAGTTTCTGACCCATAGTTCTGGGCTGAGGCCTGAGAATTTGCATTTCTAACAAGCTTCTGAGTGCTACTGATGCAGTTGGCTCTGGGATTGTATGCTGAGAATCACTGCTATGATAGATAACTGGCTTTTAACTTTTTCTTTTTCTATTACAGACTCCTTTAGAATATGATGAAAACCATGGGCATTTGCTTCAGAAAAATCCATGTACACATAAAATTTTGATGTAATTTCAAGAGGTTCATGGATGCTTAAGCATTTGTAGATCCCAGGCTAAGAACTTCTGCTCTAGAAATTCCAGGATTTATCCCCAAATAAGGCCAAACCATCAAATAAGTGTGTGTTATACTGAGTGCTATCTCACATAAGGCCCTCTGATTATACTCTGGCTACCCTATTGAAACTGCTGTGTATACCCACTATCAATCACACTTATAATATAAATGGGGTTCAGGACTTTTCTATATTAACAATCCCTTATATTAAGACTTGTGTAAGATAATTCTCTCATTTTTTAGTGAAAGTTTTGTTTTTTTCCTGAGAAATAGCTGGTCTTTTCATGGACAATGTGAATTTTATATAACTGGTCACATTTCCCCCTTCTATTTTTGGCTTATCAAGTTTAAAACCAAATTGATGCCCTAAATTTAGTAAGTACTTGGAGCCTTTTTTTCCACCAGATCTTAATTTCCTATGTAGATTGTTTTCCATGACTTAAACTTTATGTTTGGTTTCAGATAATTGTTTGAGTTCTTTTCTTCTCTCCATTATACACATGTTTACAAGTGTGACATTCTCAGGGGCTGCATATTCAACACTTCAAGGCCACCTCTCCCTCACAGCTTACCCTAACACACCACTGGGTTCCAACACCTGAGCTGAGAACCATCTAATTTATTTTGAGCTGTCAAGCCCTTTGGAGAATCAGGACGCTATGACTGTAAAAGCTTATCATTCATTTTCATGTAAACAAGTACTTCTCACTTCACTGAATTCTTATCACAACCCCATGAGGCAGTTATCTATCATAGCTGTCATCATCTTTGTAAAGAGAAAATTGAGTCTTCTCCCTGTGATCTACCAAATTCTAACAGTTGATAAAGGAGAGACTTCGGAACAGGACTCAGCCTTGATTCTTAACCAGTCTAGTAGTGTTCTCTAACATTCATACGTTCAAGTCATTTGTTCATTCTTTCATTTTATTTAACTGGCAAATTTACTAGATGTCTACTAGTTGCCATGTATTATGCTAGCTGGTATTTATATGAGTAAGGCATGGCTCCCACCTTTGAGTAAGGCAGAGTCCAGAAGGAAAACAGTCAATGACAATATAGTGAGGTAATATAATAGGGAGAAGAGAGCAATGTGAATGGTCAACAGAGAAGTATGTAACTTTCCTGTGGTAAGTAATGTGTGCGTGGAAAGGAGAGAGAGAGAGGGAGAGAGAGAATTATTGTTATTGCGTGTGTTGGCGGGTAGGGGGTGGTCATCGGAGAAAGTTCTGAGATGATGCCTGAACTGACCTTTCAAAGGATGCCATGATTAAGCCTGGTGAAGAGGCAAGGAGGTGTTGCCTGTGGATAGAGCTGCAGGTGCAAACACAGAGAAGTACAAGAAAGTATAACTCAGTCCCTATGATTGATATATAAATTATTTCCCTATTTAAAATTTTTGAAAGCATTCCTTTAATTTCACTACCATAGAAAAGAATGGTTAACTATACTAGAAAAACAACTAATATTCTTACCTTAATATTGATTATAATATCAGGTTTCAAATCTAAATTTCTAATTAATTCTATTTGCTGCAAAACAGTCATGGCATCCTGTGAAAGTGATGGTATTTCAGTGATAATATAACCTGTATGGTAAAATACAAATTTTAAAGTTTTATATTATCTATATGTAAGAGCATAGATTTATTATTATTACTTTATAAAATATTATCTAGTTATTAATGAACACTAGCACAGGTCTTAAAATCATCTGTCAAAATCTTAAATTAATAGTTAAGGAAGTATAACATGAATACTTTTCTGATAATAAATAAAACCATTCATCTAGGAAAAGACATCTTTAAAAATTCCAAATCAATTTATTTTAGGCACATAAGGAGCCTAGGGAAGGAAATTCCATGCTAATAATTCTTTTCATCTGAGGAAAGCTCATATGATAAATGGTAAAGGTATATTATAGGGGTTCCATAGTCTATTATTTTTCTTTTTTAAATTAATATTTTATAATATAGCAGGATATATGTGTATAATGTATATGTAAGTTATAGAGAGTAATAAAACACCCATGTACCCTCATACAGTGTAAGAAATTATCAACATGAGTTTGGCTTAGCACATTCATTGACTTGCATCCCTACCTGGAAACCTAAATCTTCTCCTTGAAATTCACCCTGTTTACCATCACCATGGTAATTTTAATAAATTTCTTTAATTATGTCACTGGTTTGCCTCCTCTGAGACTTGACGGCCGGCATTAATGCCCTGGTCTGACATATCCCACTGGCGGGTACTGTGATGAAGGAGATGGCATGGCCTAGCCCTGGACTGAATTCAACCCCTGCCCAACTCACCTCTCCTGATCGAACAGTTTCAGAGACCAGTCAGTCTCTAGAGTTCATGCCCTCCTCTTCTAAGCAACAAGAAATTATACAATAGTTCCCTCTCATTCCCTCTGCTGGCAACACTGTCCAACATCTGTGTATCACAAGTAGATGACAGAAAGGTACTTGGCACCCTGTTTACTAAACTCTCCAGTACCTTGTGTATTACTACGAAAACTGCCACTGCCTGGAGAGCTTATCAGGCATTCCAAGTGTGACTGCAGGCATGCTAAACCTCGGGTATACTTGTATATTTGAATGAGTTTCATACTTGATCTCTTTCCTGAGGGAGGCAGCAGAAGAATGCAGTTTCCATAGGGTCTGGCTCTCTCCTGGTAGGCTATTATTTGGACTGTCTGAGCAATTGATTTGGGGGCTCTACCCATTGAGGGTGGCCAATATCATTATATCCAAACCCTGGGAAAAGTTGTGGGAGAGACAGAGTGGAATAACTTAGTTCTCTAGACCCAATTCTGGAAAGATCTCAGGGGGATGCTTCCTTGTAAACACGCCAGAGCTGCTGAGCCTACTGTCAACCTCTTTAACCTCAGAGACAAGTACGTAGGTGGAAGCATAGATGGGGACTTCCCCTCCCTGTCCTACATCTCCTCGACACCATTAGCAACACCTTGCCCTCCATGTTGGAGGAATGATAGATGCCATGGAGGAATGGAGGAATGATAGATGCCATGCTACTCCTTGCTGGGCACCTCCATGTGTGTACTATCATAGACAGAGTAGGCACCCTGGAGGCTGCTTTGTAGCCACTGATGTATAAAAATAAACATACCAAAGTGAGAGACTTCTAGGGAGTTGAGCTTCTCCAACATTAGCTTTATGACAAGTTCATCTGGAGCACTGTGACCACTGATCAGTATTGATTGCAACTAAGAATAAACACAGATGTTGTACATTACTATTTAACGTGTCTGTGATACACAGCTTTTTAAAAAAAAATCATAACTTTGAAATTTAGATTTGTTTACCATAACTCCTGATTCGGTTTCACTGGAAATCTGTTCTTCCAAAACTGTTGAAGCTAAAATGTGAATTCAAAATATTAGCACAAACTAGAATTAGAATTGCCAAAGTAAGAAACATATTTGTGTGTTTTGTAAATGATAACAAAGACTAACATTTGTATATCACTTTAGTATTTACAAAGCCCATTTATATACATTATGTCATGTAAGCCTAACCTACGTGAGGCAACAGAATGTATTCCACAGAAAACAGGTCTGTGCCACCTGCTGCCTAAAGGATCTTAGGGGAGCTAACTTGATCTTGGGGAAGTTAACTTCCTAAACACCTCTGTACTTTGCATGCTTATACTCTGTGTAGTATGCAAGAGAACATGAATTGGATGAAATGAGATTATGTGTATGACAGTGATTTGGAAGTAATAAAGTATCGCATAAAATATACACTAGTATACTATTATTAGTCCAGACACTTTTATAATCATTCAGTTATATCCAGAGCCCATTAATTTCACATACTGATTGTATAAAAATAAAATATGCATCAAGAAATGTTATAAAAGTTAACATTGATTAGAAAGAGAGGTCCTGAGGCTGAAATTTGAATAACATGTTTTCTTTTTAAGAGGAAATATTCTATCCCTTGATAAAAGAGATCCTGAGTTAGAAATGACAGAGCTATGACCTAGGGTAGGGCCCAGGAACTAATGCTCTATTGAACATTTGATATTCTTTAAGATTTCTTACAAATGAATTTTTTGACCAAAGAAAGTTGTTCAAATTTTAAAAGTTTTGATTCTGGGGAAGATGGCAGACTAGGTAAAAGCAGAGTCTGTCTTCTCCCAGGTCCACATTGAAATTACAACCAAATTATAAAATAATCAACGTGGAGAATCACCTGAAGTCCAGCTGATCATAACACCTACATCTGATAATATAAAAGAGCCACATCGAAGCTGGTAGGAGGGGCAAAGTCGCGAATCGGGCTGGACCCGCACCCGCGGGTGGTGGAGGATCACTGGGAGGGAGAGTGAGGCTGCAGAGGCTCTCCTGAAGGAGAGGGGGGTTCTAGTCTCATCTGGGGGCTCTCTAGCCCAGGGTCTCAGCCCAGGGTCTCAGCCTAGGGAAGAGGAGATTCCAATAACTCTGACTGTAGAAAAGAGGGGATTCCAGCTATCTGGGTAAGATGGAAGGTGACTGAGCCCCTGGTCGTCCCTTTGAACGACCCGCGCACAGGCTTTCTGACCTGCAGACCCTCACCGGAGACACCAGCAGTGGGTCAGGGGCTTGCGTAGGATTCATTCTGAAAAAGTCTCCATTACCTGGAGTCAGAACGAAGGCTGGAAAGGCAGCCACCATTGTGCCTTAGTCTGGCTCCCCTACAAGGTAATCTACAGACCATGCCAGCTTGATTATGCAGACCCCACCCACAGAGCCAGTAGGAAGCGTTGGTCAGAGGGGATCAGTCATGCAGCCCAACCTGCAGATTGCCCGGGGCATTTGTTGCTGGATGGCTGCCAAGCCCTGCTCTGATTCAGGGCCAAGCATTCACAGAGAGTGACCAGCACTGTGAGGTGCATTTCAGAGGTCAGGCAGATCACTGCTGCCAAAACAAACTTGGGTGGATATCGGGGACCTGTGGGCCAGTCCCAGACAGCAGCTGGTCTTGCTGTGATTTGGGACTTCTGCGAGAACTCACAACAGTTAGCAAAGTTGCAGCAAGACTGAGGATGTATTGATCTGACTGCCATTGCCTCTCTGAGACCTCACCCCAACCTACCCTCAAATTGCCCCAGGTGGCCCAATGACAATGAACTGCCACAGCTATACCCCTCTCATCCCCTAATCTCCTAATCCACACAGGCAACAAACTTTGGCTGGCACAGGGTGGGCAATGCATGGAAATCAACAGCAGGCAGAACTTTGCTGCCTGCAAGAGTTGCAAGATTGTGTCCGGGGAGCACAGGGGTCTGTGAGAATGCTCCTGATGGCAGCTGGTCTCACTGTGATCTGGGTCTACAGAGGGAATGCCCAGGCACAGAAAATGCAGCAAAACTGAGGCTATATTGGCTGAACAGACCTTGTCTCCCTGAGATTCTGCTTCACTCAAGCCACAAAGTGCCTGCAGCCCATTGACAAGCAGCCTCCCGTACCCTGCTTGGCTCTGGGGTTGAACAGTTATCACAGGCAATAGACCCTGGCTAGTGCAGTGAGTGCATTTTGAGGAAAACAGTTGTGGACAGACCAGTGTTGCCTGTATGAGCTGCAATATCTCTTAAGGGAATTGCAGAGGTCTGTATTAGCCTGATGGCCCTTAAACTCCCCGAGTTCTTGCCCCATCCAGAACACAAAGTGCACGCTGCACATTGATAGGCAGCTGCCCCTGCCCTGGAGTAGCGCATTTAGGCTCAGGGTGGACAGCAGCTGACCTTGCTACGAGTGGAAACTTGTACAGGGAGACACAGAGACAGTGTTGGCACGTAAACTGACACTGCAGTGGCAGGGGGAAATTCACTCAATAGACCCAGGAGACTACTAGGGTCCCTGAACTACACAACATGCATATCACCCAGAGGCTCATCCAGTTTCAGAGTCTTACAGGCAACTGATAGGCAGTGTCAGGCCTTGAAGAACACTGGTCCCTCTGCTAAACTGCCACAGGTCAGGGATGGGGGATAACCGAGAGCTGCCTACAGCATTGTCTCTTCCACTTACCTATAGATCCAGCATAGGCAACAACCATCAGCAGATCAGTTTGTAGTTCTCACCAGGTAGCCCTGAGCCATCAAAAGCAGGGGTTGGCCTTGGCTTACAGGGGAGCCCCTCCCAAGGGGTCACAAAACTAACGCATTTGGAGGCTGGCACTAGACCACAACAGAGCAACTCCTGACTAGTTCCATTAGTGATACACACACAGGGTGATTGCAACAAGTACACAAGCCTGCTAGGGCAAATCCCACTCAATAGAGTCAGCCGCCACACAACAACTCTTATTCTGTGGGTGCAGCCAATTCACACAATTAGTCAGCCTGAACAGTAATCCCACCCAATGATCTACTAACAACAATAAAGGCTTGGCGACAACAGAACATCACACATAACTCACACAAAGGACACGTCCAGAGCTCCTGGCATAAGGAAGCAGGGAGAGTGTGCCACTGAGCCGCACAGGACACTTTCCACATTAGGCCATCTGGCCAAGGCTGAGAGGCAAAACCAATATTCCTGACACATAGAAACGAACACAGAGAGGCTAATAAAATGAGAAAACCAAGAAACATGCCACAAATGAAACAAAAGGAGAAAACTCCAAAAGATAAGCTAAATGAAATGGAGGCAAGCAACTTACCAGAGACAGAGTTCAAAATAACAGTTATAAGGATGGTCAACGAATTTATGAGGAGAATGGATGAGCACAATGAGAACCTTGACAGAGAGACGGTAAGCATTAAAAAGGACATAGAAACCATAAAAAAGAACCAGACAGAAATGAC